AAAAATATGTCAAAAGAAAATATTTCACATGTTGTAAAATCAGATGCTGGCGGAATTTGGAATTTCCTCTGGCAGGAGATGATCGTACTTTCTAACCAATTTCTCGTTTCTTTCACGGATCTTTGAGCTGATGTTTTTCAAATCCTGTATGAATCTGAAAAATAAAATATATAACCATAATAAAATGAAGTCGTTTTCCACCTAATTAGAACTATAAGAGAAAAATAAGGAAGCGACGCTACTGTTGATTCCTAAATATACGCGTGGAATTAAATATCGCGAAATTTCTTGAGAAGCACCACACGCGAAATAACATTCCTCGCCTTCATTTTTATGGTGCTGAAATCTTTGAAAAATCTCGTGATCACTCGTCTATTTGCGAATTATTCTTCTAGCGATTTGAATTTGAAGAGCCCATTCGCAATAATAAGTTCTTGCAAAAAATTAGAATCTACAGAATATAATACATGAAATAAATGGAGATAACGAACGGTATTCAAGCTCAAAAGTACGATGGCCGATATGAGCCGTCAAAATACAAGTAAAAGTACCTCTATTATGTACGCAGAATCAATGGCAAAACGCATGAAGTAGTAATATAAATTTGTACATGTACAAATCTTGAGGCAAAACACACTCGAGACTACTTAATATTCCTTAGATTTACTGGGAAGATTATCTGTAAAAGAAGGAACAAAATCAAATACATGTGTTTCTGATTTTCCCTCTATTTTCTCCTCTCCTAATTTAAGTTGTGTAATAAATGTTGTGCACCTTGATCACAAAATGCAGCAAGTTGTTTTATTTTCGCCTTTGATTCCCATGTATTTTTTGGTTGTTGTTGTCTTTTTTAATTTTAATTTTCACGACAACAAAATCTTAACCTTCATTCGTAGGCCCCAAAATACCGGTAAAAGATTCCAGAAACAATGCAGCTGCATCTTTATATATTTCTTTTCCAGCGAGACGAAAATCTGTTGCTTGATGAAATGTGTAAGAAATGTGTTTATTTTTCATTCTATGCTTTGCCAATCCATAATACTTTTTTCTTCATTATTTTTTTCTCATTGGAACTAGGGAAAAAATAGAGTGAGGAAATGCAAAACGTTTTACATAAAATGCAGCTCATTTACTAGCTCATACACACGATATATGTACTACGTTTCTATTATTTCAATACTCGTATATCTTTAAAGTTTACACTGGAATCTACTATTAACAATACTAAAATGAAGATTGCTAGTTCTACAATTTTTTTTTATGTGAAATGCTTTTCTATTGCAGTCTTCATACCCGTTTATTTTTTCCTTTGCAGGCAAATGCATCAGCTCATATAGTTATATGGAAGGTTGATCACTCTAATATTTATATATATCCTAGTTAATCCTGCAGCAGGCCTCACCTACGTTCCTTGTATATATATATTCCTCTTTGCAGGCAAATGCATAAGCTATAATACTTATTTTGCAAAAACTGATCACTCTAAGAATTACTTCAATTATTAGTGATGGCATAATTTTTTGTAACACTCCAGTTTGTACAAAATTTGCGATATATATATTTTTTTTTCATACATATTTAATTAAAACCTTCAACATGAATAATGATCGTCAGAAGCTGATGCGTTTTTTTGTTTTTTTGTTTTTATACCCGCACTTTCTAAAGAAAGTTCGGGTATATTGTTGTTACTCATGTCCGTCCGTCCGTCCGTCCGTCCGTCTGTCACACTTTTCTTCCCTGAACTCCTCCTACATTTTACACAGTAGCTTAATCATCTTTTAGGAGATGGTTGGTGGTGTCATGTAGATGTGCAGTAAGGTTTCGGAATTTTGATTTTGCCCCGGGGGGTCAAATGGGGGTCGAAAAATGACGTTTTTTGTGCAAAAAGTCCCGTCTTCCCTGAACTCCTTCTACATTTTAGTCAGCAGCCTAATCACCTTTTGGGGGATGATTGGTGGTGTCATTTAGCTGTGTCGTTATGTTTCTTTATATTGATCTTGCCCCGGGGGGTCAAATGGGGGTCGAAAAATGACGTTTTTTATGCAAAAAGCCCCATCTTCCCTGAACTCCTCTTACATTTTACTCAGCAGCCTTATCATCTTTGTGGGGATGATTGGTGGTGTCACGTAGATGTGCAGTAAGGTTTCGGAATTTTGATTTTGCCCCGGGGGGTCAAATGGGGGTCGAAAAATGATGTTTTTTATGCAAAAAGCCCCGTCTTCCCTGAACTCCTTCTACATTTTACACAGTAGCCTAATCATCTTTTGAGAGATGGTTGGTGGGGTCATGTAGATGTGCAGTAAGGTTTTGGAATTTTAATTTTGCCCTGGGGGGTCAAATGGGGGTCGAAAAATGACGTTTTTTGTGCTAAAAGCCCCGTCTTCTCTGAACTTCTCTTACATTTTACTCAGCAGCCTTTTCATTTTTTGGGGGATGATTGGTGTTGTCACGTAGATGTGCAGTAAGGTTTCGGAATTTTGATTTTGCCCCAGGGGGTCAAATGGAGGTAGAAAAATGATGTTTTTTATGCAAAAAGCCCCGTCTTCCCTGAACTTCTCCTATATTTTACACAGTAGCCTAATCATCTTTTGGGAGATGGTTGGTCGTGTCAGGTAGATGTGCAGTAAGGTTTCTGAATTTAGATTTTGCCCCGGGGGGTCAAATTGGGGTCGAAAAATAATGTTTTTTATACAAAAAGCCCCATTTTCCCTGAACTCCTCTTACATTTTACTCAGCAGCCTATTCATCTTTTGGGAAATGGTTGGTGGGGTCATGTAGATGTGCAGTAAGGTTTCGGAATTTTGATTTTGCCCCGGGGGGTCAAATGGGGGTCAAAAAATGACGTTTTTTATGCAAAAAGCCCCGTCTTCCCTGAACTTCTCCTACATTTTACACAGTAGCCTAATCATCTGTTGGGAGATGGTTGGTGGTGTCAGGTAGATGTGCAGTAAGGTTTTGGAATTAAGATTTTGCCCTGGGGGGTCAAATGTGGGTCGAAAAATGACGTTTTTTGTTCAAAAAGCCCTGTCTTCCCTGAAGTCTTCCTTAATGTTACTAAGAAGCCTAATCATCTTTTAGGAGAGTTAAATATTTTGAAAATTATGTAAAACATCAACGTCAAGGGGTTTCCCAGCATCACATGCTGGGAAACACCTTGAATTCTTATGAGTAATTAATGTACATGTCAAATGTGAGAGTCATATCTCATCTCAATCAAAAGTTATAAGCAAATGCAACATTTTTGAAAAGTAGAGGCTTGACCGCTTCAAGGACAAGGTCACAGAGTAAAAGTCATGATTTTTTTGGAAAGGTCTTATCACAGGTAATAATATACATGCATTATGATATGAATGCCATAACTTTTCTCTTTCAAAATGATGAATTTATAACAATTTAATTTTTTTGCAAGTAGGTCAAACTTCTAGGTCACAGGTAAAAAAAAAACCCATGCCATTCTCACAGGTAAATACTAATACATAAGTTTAATATTCAGTAGATATGACCGTAATGACCAAGGTTAAATTTATTGAGACAGATGGACAGTCTGACATACAAATGTACATATTTCTATATGAATTGGGTAAAAATTGGCCCAGTGGTTCTAGAGAAGTTAAAAATGTAAAAAGTTTTCAGACAAACAGATGGACAACACGTCACGACAGACGTTATATGCTAAGGGAACCAGAAAAGCTCAAATGAGTGTTTTGAAAGGGTTAGAATATGGTTGCAGTATTTGAAAAGCTGTTTTTTTCATGCAGAGATATGCATGACCAACATATTCATGTTTTACATTTTCTTTAGTAATTTGTTTGTTTGTTGTGAATACATCTCTCTTGGGAATTTTTCCCTCATATGGAGACACCACCAAATAATAATGAAGACAAGATGTGTTTGTGAAACACTCCTGATGTCCCTGTATGGAAGCCTATGGCGAAGGTTGAAGTTTCTCAAATATATGTCAAACTCAAAGGTCAAGGTCAAAGGGTTCAAATTGTTAGTATCAGAAGAAAGTCTTGTCACAAAGAATGCACATGTGAAATAAAGAAATTCCTAGTAATTCCTGTTCAAAAGTTAATTGCCAAGGTTAATTTTTTTTTTAAGTGGTTCAAACTCTAGGGTCAAGGTCAAACATATTTATGCCTATTGACAGTTCACAGTGAATACACATGTTAAGCATGAAAGCCCTAGCACCTACTGATCAAAATTTAGGCCAAGTTTGGTATTTTTCTTGTAAAAATGTGTATCCTAGCTCAAGCTTTTCAGGTAAAAATTAATGTTACCCAAATAAAAGGTCTTAATTGTCACAAGAAATAAACCTATAAAATGTGGAAGCTATTTGTATAGCCCATCCCACTTAAAACTTATGGGCAAGGTTATAATTTCTGCAGACAAATAGACAGACATAATATAAACACAAGAAAACAAAATATGTATAATTAGTCAAATAGAAAAAAATATACTATTTAATTGGAATCACAAAATAGATTGTTATTTCAGGGACAGGGAGTGGGTAGGGAGATTGGAATCCCCCATCCCCCCCCCCCCCCCCTGGAATTTGCTTTGTTATTTAAACAAGACTATATACTGAAGCAAATAAAAAATGACTTTGGACATCCTCCCCCTAACTGAGAAAACATTGACCACACTATCATTGTTTTTATTTTGTTTATTTGTTTTCAGTTTTTTCCTGCTTGTCAGGAAATTCTGGGCTGGAAATTTTTTGACTGAGATGTGAACCCCCTCCCTACTCCCGAAAAAAATTCTGGATCCGCACCAGTATTGGCAGTAACTGAATGTCACATCGATAATGGCAGATAACTTCACAATATGAAATTCGTCTAGTGTGGCATGCGATGATCTTTGACCCTTTTTGAACTTTAACCTAATCGTTTGGGTTTATTTTACCCCCCACTATACTTAAACTTGTACTTACCGACTGCCATATGTCTCGTCAACTTCATGAAATATAAATCCGATTATAACACAAAATGAATTAATCCAATGCACACCAGACTGCAGCCATGTGCTAATTCCATTCGACAAACCTTCGTCGATTCCGTCACCTTATCAGATGAAGTGGGAATCGGCCGAGGTGTGCCAAATGGTGTTTAATCTAAAAATATGATAATGGGTGACGCAACGTGATGTGATGTAGAAATTTACATGTTAACATGTATAGTACAAGAACAAATTTTAAATTAATTCATAACAAACGATGTTTTAACAAAACTTTTCCATCTAGCCTATTCCAAACAGTATGTGCTGTGTGATTGTGGTGTCGAGGGGGGGATTAAAAAATTTAAAAAGGTCCTATTATGAGCAAAACATTTATCAAAATCTAATTTACATCATTAATAGAATTCAAACTGGTATATAATGAATTAAGCATGTAAAATAAATATAAGAGGTTCTGAGTTATAGGTCACAGCGTCTGAGAATTTCATGCTCAGTTTGATGAATACATGTAAATCATTGGTGTCGGAAGCAAATTCAAAGTGGGGGGGGGGGCTAGGTGTAAAAAAATTTTTTTTATACCTTCTCAAAAACCTGACAAGCAAAAAAAAAAAAAAAAAAACGAAAATATCAATTTCCCAAACACGAAAATCCTATTTCGGGGGAGGGGGGGGGTGAATTCGAACTTCAGTACCAAAATTATTTTTTTCTGTACACTACCTTTTTCCCATTTTTTACCTATACTGCCATGTGTCTGTGGAAAGTGTGGGGGGGGGGCTAAACCTATGAAGCAATGTTTAATATCTATACTAAGTATATGTTTAGAAAAAAAGCCCCCCCCCCCCCCCCCCGGTTCCGACGCCTATGTAAATTATAGAATTATTTTGACTTTTTCCTTGGAATGGCGCCCAATATGTAGGAGCGTGTATTTAGAGGCAAACACCTTAGTGCGGGTATTACTGTCTCATGACAGCATCTAGTTGTTTTTTTTTTCAAAATTTTGAACAGTGTCGGCACCACAGCATCTGAACTTAGAAGAACGATGTGGAGATAACGAGCAATATTCAATCTCAAAGTCCATAAAACAATACAAAATAGGAGGAGAGCAAACACGGTCCTCCGAAATATCAGAGGTGGGAAAAGGTGCCATGGAGGAGTGAGCATCTCTTGCTGACCGGTCACACTCAACGTGTACTCCTTGTCATGATCAGGAAATAACGAAAAAACCCGTCGTCAATTCAGTGTATAAATACTGGACTAACAATTGGCTCAATGATAAATTGACTCATTTGACTCAATGATAAAATGTATTTGCTGACAAGGTCATTGTATCGACCATAGAACTTACAAAATGATGACTTTAAACGAGACTGCTGATATTCTTGTTTCATGAACTTGCTTGTCAATAATTTACCTCGTTTTAGAAATTGTTCATACGTAGAACATGCTCTTGCGTAACGAATCAACTGAGATATATATACTCTGTATGCAGGTGATTTGCCTTTTCTTTTCTCGTTTGACTACAAAATTTTTCCTTGATATTGGCTGTTGGCAATATTGCTCTATGATTGAGTGTGGATTATGACATATCTTGTATTTTTCTTCTCCTTATCTTGTACATGTACATTCAAGAGTAACCTTTTCTGCATTATTCAGGTAAGTAACAGTTGATTTTCAGGGACCCCTTTAACAAAAAAGATAAGTTTGTAAAATCTCTATGTCGTATTTTAATGGGATCAAATTTTCGTGGTTTAAAGTAAAACTTACTTGTTCGAGGGGATATGATTAAGTTTTTAAAGGATAAACATTATATAGCAGCATGAAATGTTCACTTTTCGTAAGGAATGTGAATTCGTGGCTCTTTTTCATACCACAAAAATAAAACCCACACAAAAACCCTCACAAAAATTGTGATTTCACAGTATCTATCGAGAACGCGCCTCCTGCTTACACTTTAAACAATATTGGTTTCTTCAGATAAAACCTACGATTTTTAACAAAAATAGAACAAAATATTTAATAAATGCACATTTATTTGAAAAACCCCACACATTCATTTATATTTTTTTAACATCATTCTACATTTTATTAAATTGTAATATGTTTATTAAGCGGACACTCGGTATATTCACTAAATATTTAAGATAATGTCATACATACGATCTTCTAAATTTTAACTTATTAATGTTCTTTGGAGAGTATAGGACTCTAAACAAAGATTTTAAAGACTTTCTTCATGCTGATAAATGACTTCCTGGGGTCAGATGTTTGTGGTTTGAGAAAAACATATTAGTTCAAGGGGATTTGATACAACGAAAACAATGGAAACTATATCACCACGAAAATAAATGATTTCACAGGAAACTAATAACGTTATAAAATCTTTCTATTTTTGTATCCTAGAATAGTATATGAAAAGAAAGCTTTGAAACACCAAGGAGGATCAATTGCTTGTGGAATTTGGAATTTCCTCTGGCAGAAGATAATCATACTTTTTCACCAACTTCTTGTTTCTATCACGAATCTTTGAACTGATGTTTTTCAAATTTTGTCTGAATCTGAAAAATAAAAAAAAGCGTTTTCTACATTTAATTGACATCAAAATATTTCACCATTTACTGATTATTTATTAATAAGAAACTTGAGAGGACAAATTGACTTTCTATCAATTTTGCACTTTGGTTTAAATCTGGCTTTGAAATTCTCAGACAAGAATGGTATTTTGTAGTAAATTAAATTTACTTTTTTTAAATAAAATTAATTTTGGGAACAAATATATTTTTGTATTTGATATGAAGTTGTATGGTCGCCTAGTGGAAAATTCCTAGAAACATAAGGAACCAACAGCTATGATTTTTTTTTCAATTTAAGGATGTATTCTTCTCATATCCGAGCCCCTTGGGGATCCAGGTTAGAATAGGTCCTCAGTGCCCCCTTGCTTGTCGTAAAAGGCGACTAAATGGGGCGGTCCTTCGGATGAGACCGTATAAACCGAGGCCCCGTGTCACAGCAGGTGTGGCACGATAAAGATCCCTCCCTGCTCAAAGGCCGTAAGTGCCGAGCATAGGCCTAAATTTGCAGCCCTTCACCGGCAATGGTGACGTCTCCATATCAGTGAAATATTATGAAGAGGGACGTTAAACAATATACAATCAATCAATCGATCTCATATCCGAAAAAAACGTGCAGTAAACTTTCCACATGCTTATATTTTTCTGAAAGTGTAATATCCAAGGAATAATTTAAAGACAAGAAAAGTGTATGTTAGTGTTCATCTAATAGAGATTCAACCCTTCAAAAATAGGCCAAAACAGACATGGGAAATTTCATTAAAATGCTATTAGTCAATAAAATACCCCATAAACTTATAATTACAATCAATTTTAAACTTAATTTGCTTAGATTTACTTGAAAGTATTGCAAAGTTGATTATTAAAGCAAAATATGAGCAAATAAATACCAATTAAATAAATTGTGCCCAAAAATGTTGTTCACCAGTGTCAAAATTAGGCAAATTTTTCCCTAGAAAATTGTTCGGAAAACCAAAGAAAAACATATTTCTACGATTAAACTTTTTAAGAAAAATGTTGTACACTTTCTTTAGGTATTATGGCTCCTTTTCATAGCATGAAAAGTAGGGGTTAGTGCACATATAAGAAAGTTTTGATATTTTTTTTATCACCACCCCCTGTTTCTTTTCAGCATTTAATGAAAATAAATCAAGGCATTTAGGCGTGAAAAGTATGTACTTTTATTCTAAAGTCTATGTCGTAAATATTGTATTTTTGCACACGTCTTGGTCATTAATACAACATAGAAAGATTTTTTATTTAAAGATAAATATAGTTTAACATGCTAATCATAAAAACTGTAAGAACTTGTTTGTAAATTGTTATCAGTTTGAATTTTACGACATGGTTAAGTACGAAGACCCACTTGGGGTAAAATGATCAGAAGAATTCATCCATAATCATCTCTCTTTTGGAACTTTCGAACAGTCATTGGTCGTTAATCGTCTATCAGCGTATTTGGTTAGGATCAGGTGTCATGGAGCGATAAGCATCCTCCGTCGTCGGTGTTGCTTGTCATGAAAAAATCCGTTAACCACTCAGTGTGAAAATGATGGCCTAACTTTGTTTGAAAGACTTCAGTCAACAATCGACCTCAAGACACGTGATATGCAAATAAGGTCAGTTTATCGACCATAGCATTTGCAAAATACTGACTTTCAACATGACTGTTGGTAGTCTTTTATCTTTAACTATATTATTTGTCAATAGCCTGCCTCGTTTCAAAACTTGTTTGCTCTTAAATATTGAATCAATAAACATTAGTTCATGACATACTTTCAGAACTCTGAGATTCCACTTAAGAAATTGGCTACCGTCAAGTTGCTTAGGTTTTGAATAATCCCCATTACAGTTTTCAGTTAAAAACTGTTTTTTAAACATTATTCCCATTGACTCAGTAACAGATGTCTTACTCCTCCACGATCTTTACAGCTGGAGGGTCATATATATAGTCCACTTCAAAGTCTCCCAGAGCGTTAGTAGCCCGTTCACTCAAAATTGATACCACAGTCATAACATCCAGTGCCGTAGACTTGTCGACTAGGGCCTTCACGACTTCCTCTTCCTTCAGTGGCCTCTGAAAAGTAAGAATCAGGACCCCTCGAGCTCGTAACACAGATTACACTTCATCAACTGCATTAGTTTAATATTAAAAGATTCCTTCAGTTTAAATTCCAAGGTTTTGATATTTTAAATGATATTTAGAATGTTATTTGCGATCATTATGGAACTGCATTAGTTTGGTTTAATCTAAATAGATTCCAAGGGTTTAATATTTTAAATAACATTTATGATGTTATTTGCGAAAGTCTTAAACAACGACTGATACATCCATTTTATAGATTTTTACTATATAGATTTACATTACAGACAAACCTTCGATAGTTTCATGTCTTGTCATTTTTAAATAATCATGAAAAAGGGTAAAGATAATGAACATTTATTGATCTCCTAAATTTAACAAGCAATACAAATCTATGAGCAGGCCATAAAACGGAGATCCCGGAAATTTCAAAGGTGAGATCAGTTGCCAAAGAGGAGTAAGCACCTCCTGTTGACCGTCAGCCAATATCTAACTATATCATAGGTTATATCGTATTCAGGTCATGCTCTGGAGAATAGCATCGTACACATCATATGTATGTGATAGCGGAATGTAACTACAAAAACAGAGAAAGCTGACGATGAAAATGCTGAGGTCATCTTGCTTGTTACACAATGTTGTTGTTAGTTGGCCCTTATCGTCTCTATTTTTCCGTTATTTCCCAATCATGACGAGCACACGGCGGGTGTGACCGGTAGACAGGGGATGCTCACTCCTCCATTGTATCTGATCCCACCTCTGATGTTTCGGAGGTCCGTGTTTGCTCTGCTCCTATTTGTTATTGTTTTATAGACTTTGATATTGAATATTGTTCGTTATCCCCATATCCTTCTTTAGTCAGTAAATATCCAAATATGAAAAGATGTGACAGACTGTGTTCTGCCTTTTTTTTCGAGTTCAAGGGGATATACCGAATCAACGTAGGAATTCAAAATGAATATTGCTGATTGCTATATCTGAATGTCGAAGTAAATGACACTGGGTTTTTTTCTTTTCATGTAAATTTTTTTTAATAAATTCTGCTTCATAGGAATATAAAAACAGGTCAGCAAATAATTAAAGCAGCACAATTAGTACCCATCGAAATTCCAACAGTTGGTACATAGACCTAGTCTCCGAAGACTAAAAAAATACAAACTGTAGAAGATAAAACTACTATACTGCTATAAATTATGACTGTCACTAATTAGTTGATATGTTTAAGCAATTCAATCTAAAACAAAAAGTTTTGAGAAAGTAAAGCACAAAAAAAACAACAAAAAACGTTTAAGATCATAAAATACACGTTTGATATTTTGTGGGATTTGAATATTTGTCCAAGTATAAAGTATTTATGTGTAAAGATATTTTTTAAAACATGATACCTTATATTTTATTAATGTTAATACTCACCTTATCTTTAGGAGGCGTTCCGTTGAGTTTGATTGGATAGTTCGGGGTGAATCCGTATGTATCGTATTGAGGGAAATTAATAGCAGCATGTACAACACTACTGGTAAAAATAACGGAAGTGAAGACGAGCGCCACCTGTTCTGCTGAACAAAACTTCCCGTCTTTGAGAGGAACACCCTTATGGTAATTAAAGAAAAATGTCACTTTTTAAAGGCTATATGGGTGTGAATAATAGAATAAAAAATATATCTAAAACAAAATTTTTGATTATATAATTTAAATTGCAAAGTAAATTGTTTCTAATATTTTTATTATGACAATTTAGTATGACCATTCCTTTTTTCTGATACACGAATACAAACTTATTCAAACGGTTGGCTACTTGATATCTTGTTTGTACTGGGATTTCCTTATTCTATTGAAGTTTAAGATTAACAATATATTTTATGGATTTTGCAAAGACATCAATAATCATGAAAGAACAATCTTAATTAGCAAGTATACGCTTTTCATAACGTCATCAGCCCACAACATGAGGGGATGTCATCATCAATGCCATTTTTTGCAATCCACGGAAAAGGCATCCATAAATTAGAATAGTGAAGAACTCAACAAATGTTCGTCACATGTGTCCAATCCCCTTGATATAATAGTCAGTAATTTTTTTAAATAAAAAAAATCTTCAAGAAAAGAAATAAGTACTCATGTAGCATACCAAAATTCCACAGCCTCCTTCGGATTTTGGTACTGATAATTCGCGTCCGAACTTTTGTATTTCATCATCCTCGATAATTTTTCCATTAGTGTCTGTGTCGATAAAGAAAATTCTAATTAATTACAAAGTAAATCAACTCATCTGATTTCCAAGAATTTTAAATTTAATTCATGGAAATAAATCAATGAATCAGAAAAAATCTGATACCCACCGTAATAGAGAGTGACGTATTTGCTGACGTAGCTGTGAATGGCTTCATATAGATCTAGACTATCGTCACGCTGGTAAAACGTTGGCAGAATTTTTCCATCCTTGCAATATAGCTGTGAATACAGATTTTAAACGAAAAGCATTTTTAATACTTAACCCTAATTTTGTCTTACCCATTTGAAAAGAAAAACCTTTACACTTGTTATAGCGACCACGTGCATGAAGCGATCATGGGCAACCGTAACCCTTCCACCCCCCACCCCACCCCCACCCCCCGGTCCGAGATTCCTACATTCAGTTACTCTCTGTATAACGCATCATGCAGTGAATATTTCTCATTCTAAAAAAAGATTCAAACTATCATTTAGCAAATTTTAATCTTGATTTTTTTTTACAATAAAAAGATTAAATTGTTTCGAAATAGTCCCTTCGATCCCCCTTATTTGCAGAATGATGTAATCATAACATACTTTACAATATTTATGCATGTGATATTTCACAGTATGTAATAAGGCATAAAAAAGAAAAAAGAAACAAATCAACATTATAAAAAAAGGAACATAAAAATGAGTAGAATACTTAGAATCTTGAAATGAAAAATATGGAGATAACCAACAGTATTCAAACTCAAAAGTCCATTCAAACAATACAAAACAGAAGCAGAACAAACATGGACCCTAAAACATCACAGGCGGAGTCAGGTGCCATGAAGGAGTGAGTATCCCCTACCGACCTGTCACACCCGTCTTGTGCCCCTTGTCATGATTGGAAAATAACGGAAAAATCAGTCGACAATTCAAAGGGTAAATAATGACCTTACATTTAGTATGAAAAGCGTCAGTCAGTGTTTGACTTAATGATAGATTATATTGTTAACAAGGTCATTGTATCGACCATACAATTATGAAACTTACGATAGATGACTTTAAGTGGGACTTTTGATATTCTTGTTTCCCCAACGTGTTTGTCAACAACTTACCTCGTTTTAGAAATTGTTCATACGTAGAGCATTATCTTGCGTATCGAATCGACTTAGAGATATCAACCCCATACGCAGGTGATGAGGGTATATTGCTGCATAAGTAAGGGAAGTTGATGATTGAAAAGTTAAAGTCATCACGTTTATCATAAAGCTTTGTTGTTAGATTACTATTAAAGTCTTTTTCTAGTTAAATATCCAAATATGAAACAGATGTTTCAGAATCTGTGGTATCTCTTATTCCAACCTCACTGGAATGTATCGTGGCGTCATATGAATTAAAATAAATATTGTTTATTAATAATACGCTGTCTATATATCGAGGTGAAGGCCACACCAAGACTTTTTCCTCATACATAAGATTTTGAATAAATTATGCCCTATATGAATACAAAGATAATTCTGCTTATAATGGGACGCAATTGATACCCATGGGTATTTCAGCAAACTTGAAAAAGCCTTGTCTCCAAAAACCACATAGATATTGTCAATCAGAAACTCAAGCATCTTTTTAATATCAACTTCAGAGTATTTGTTTGCACAATCAGGATGTTTTTTAAACATACTTGTTTTGCAAATGGCAAATGAAGCTAAGTAAATTTTCGAGTTGTTGTGAGATGTGTTGTATTTGTATTGTTTCATCTTGTATATTATTAGTAACATTAAGTTTCTTGAACATTCCAGAGTGGTCAATATGTTTGGTCATTTTTTCTAGAACATTCTTGAACTTTATTCATGTCCAGAACTTTCCAGGAATATCATGTATTTACAATTTCTAGAATATTCTAGATTTATATTACTGTATAAATACCCTGTCAATTCGATGCATAATAATAATTGTGGATATTGTCGTATAAGCATCATTGAGGTATTACTGGGATATAATTTCACTGGGACATTGTGTGCAGCAACGGACACTCTGATGTATGTATTTTTAGATTTTTGCTAAGTTTGTACTTAATGATTTGTATATTACTGTAAATAAATTATTGTTAAGTTTAAACTGTGTGATTGATCTTTGCTGGCATTTAGGGTTATTCTGACCCATAACAGAATTGGGGGCTCGTCCGGGATCAAGAATTTCTTGCACTTTTGCAGTTCATTGTCAGAATTTTGTTAATTAAATTGTTAAATTTGACTATAAGCCAGCAAAAATCAACATGGTATTTTCGGTCACAAACTTTCTTAGTTCGCCAAGTGTTCAGGTTTTTGATACGTTAAAAAAGGATGACTTGATCGCATTAGGTTTGCATTTTGGGTTAGATGTTAAATCCTCTCAGAGAAAGCAAGACATTAGAATTAAGGTTGCAAACAAACTAGTAGAAGAAAACATCTTTGAAAAATACGATCTTCCAGAATATACAGTTAGATCAGAGTTAGGCTCTTATAAAATGGCAGACTTTCAGTTTCAATTAGAGTTAGAGAAAATGCGATTTGAAAGAGAAGAGCGAGAAAGAGATAGAGAAAGAGAAGAACGAGAGCGTGAACGAAAATTTGAATTAGACAAATTAGCAGCAGAAAGAGAAGAGCGAGAAAAAGAGCGTGAAATGAACTTTGAGTTAGAGAAATTAAGATTACAGCACCAACCAGAACCGTCATTTGTCAAGAATGAATTTGACGCAGCAAAAAATATTAGGTTAGTTCCAAAATTTCAAGAAAAATCTGTAGACAAATATTTTCCCCAATTCGAGAAAGTTGCAGAAAATCTTAAATGGCCACAACACGTTTGGTCAACAATGTTACAAAGTGTACTGGTTGGCAAAGCAGCTGAGGTATACTCTGCACTAGGGGTAGCTGAAAGTTCAGACTATGAGAAGGTCAAAGCAGCAATATTAAAAGCATATGAATTAGTACCTGAAGCATATAGACAAAAATTCAGAAAGTATAGGAAGTTTGATAATCAAACATTTGTTGAATTTTCACGAGAGAAAGAAGATTTATTCGATCACTGGTTTAGATCTAAGAAACTTGATGAAACCTTTGCTAATTTGCGCCAAGTCATCCTGGTAGAAGAGTTTAAGGAATGTGTTCCTCAAGATTTGAAAATACATTTAGAAGATAAGAATGTGAAAACTCTTGAAGAGGCAGCAGTCATATCTGATACTTATGCTCTATCTCATAAAAAGAATTTTGTATCAAGATCTCAGACTAGCAGCAATTCTACCAATTCAGACACATATAAAAAGAGTGGTTCAGGGTCTCAGTCTTTCACAAGTTCCCAGTCTCCATCCCAAGGTGGTTCTAAGTCCGGTCCAGGACGTTTTGAAGGATCTTCTGGAATAGGGTCGCTTCCTACTTGTAGTTATTGTAAGAAAAAGGGTCATCTGATCAGTGAATGCTTTAAACTTAAGAGAAAAAATGATTTTGATAAAACTCAACCACACGCTTGTGCGGCAGTTAGAGGTGATAGAGAAGCCTTAGTTTCGATTTGTTCTGACACTCCTGATGTCCAGGGTTCACAGTCCAGTTCTATTGATTCTATGGAGGATTATAAGCCCTTTATGTCTCAGGGATTTGTTTCACTCGGTGACTCTAGCGAAATAAAACCTGTCCAGATTTTGAGAGATACTGGTGCTGCACAGACGTTATTGTTAGAGGGCGTGCTTCCTTTGTCTGAGCAGACTTCTACTGGTGGGTCAGTTTTATTACAGGGTGTGGAGCTAGGCGTCATTGATGTTCCCCTGCATAGAATTAGTTTGAAGTCAGATTTAGTTACTGGACCTGTTATCGTAGGTGTTCGACCTACTCTTCCCGTTCCAGGCATTTCTTTGTTGCTAGGCAATGATTTAGCTGGTGGAAAAGTTGTACCAGATCCTATAGTTTGTGAGAAAATCACTCCAGATGTCATGTACGATGATGAAGATGATGACATTTATCCAGCCTGTGCTGTTACTAGAGCGATGGCCAGAAGACGAGAAATGGAGGCAGACCATGCTCAAGCCTTTGACGAGACGAATTCCTCTGTTGATATTGATTTGAATGACACTTTCTTATCTGACCTTGATGGCACTCAAACCAGCATGGAACCACACAATATCAAGAAGCAAGAGAAGAAAGAACTTTTACCAAAATTTGGTGGTGAGAATGATAAGTTGCATCCACTAGTTAGCCAAGGCAAGGACATCCTCAGCCGAGAATGTTTACTCTCTGAACAACATAAAGACCCAGATATCATTCAACTTAGTAAGAGGGCACTTCCACCAGAAGAGGCTACTAAAGTTGGAGAATGCTTCTATATGAAAGATGGCATCCTTATGCGAAAATGGCAACCACCTGACGCTTTCCCAGATGAAGTGTGGCGTGTTGTTCACCAGATAGTGGTCCCAGCTGCTTATCGTCGAGATGTCATGAGTTTAGCTCACGATACACCTATGGCTGGTCATTTAGGTATCAATAAGACTTATAATAGGATTTTGAGTCATTTTTATTGGCCTAAGCTAAGAAAGGATGTTTCGAAGTTTTGCAAGTCATGCCATGTCTGTCAGATGGTAGGTAAACCAAATCAGAAGATACCATCTGCTCCTCTCCAACCCATTCCAGCTTTTGAAGAACCGTTTAGTCGAGTGTTGGTGGATTGTGTAGGACCTTTGCCTAGGACTAGGTCAGGAAACCAGTATTTACTTACCATTATGTGTACATCCACTCGATTTCCTGAAGCCATACCTCTTAGGAATATAAAGGCAAAGAGCATAGTTAAGGCCCTAACCAAGTTTTTCAGTTTTGTAGGAGCACCCAAGGCAATTCAGTCGGATCAAGGCTCAAATTTTATGTCGGGGTTGTTCCAGCAAGTCATGCATGAGTTGGGTATTAAGCAGTATCGATCAACTGCTTATCATCCCGAGTCCCAGAGAGCGCTGGAACGTTTTCATCAAACCCTAAAAACAATGCTGAAGACCTATTGTTACCAGTATGAAAAAGACTGGGATGAAGGGGTTCATCTTGTACTATTTGCTGCACGAGAAGCAGTCCAGGAGTCTCTTGGGTTCAGTCCTTTTGAATTGGTGTTCGGTCATACAGTTAGAGGTCCTTTAAAATTGTTGAAGGAAAAGTGGCTGACTGAGACTAGTGATCTTAATCTTTTAGATTATGTGTCTGATTTCAAAGAAAAACTTTACAATGCTTGTAAATTAGCAC